CGGGATGGGTTCTGAACCCGGCGACACAACTGCCTTGATCCAGCACAGGCTGGGGGCTTGGACAACACGTAGAGGATGCAGACACACACAACACCGAGCACTGATGGCTATTGCTACCCAACAGCACCCCCAAAGTCACTACTCGGCAAAAGGACTTGGCAACAAGGAGTAGGCATCAGCCATCGTCTTCACATTGCCAGCGGGCGTGTTTCTTTACAAATGCCGCCACCATGGTGGGAACGGCTTCGAGCAAATTGGAAACGGGTTCCCAGGAGTTTTCAAGCTCACTGAGCCCACGCCACTTGACTTGAATCTTCCATGTCTTGTCGGAGCGGTCAAACTTGGCGTCGCGCAACTCCTGGACAAGGTGCCCGCCCTCAACGTAGGCGACATGGTCCAAAAGGTCTTGAGTCACATTGGAATCTCGGACTGCATATAGCTTCAGACGGGAAACATGATGCTCGCTAACAGCACCATCCCGAAGGTCTTCAACAATGAACACCCAGTCGGAAAGCGCCTGGATTATGCGCCGTGGGCCGAGCCACGTGACTTGTAACTTGGGTCCAAAGGCCTGTGAGACCTTGCCAATCAGGACATAATCTCCAACGTCAAGTTGCACACGTCGAACGTTGCGCTTGCCATTACGACGATCCCGTTCTGCCTTGCGCTTGGCATCGGCGGTTGAGACAACGTCCCGGTGCAACTTGTCCCGGGCTTGGGCCAGCCCTGCGAAATGTTCAATGCGCCATCTATCGAGCACTTCGGCCTCGATTTCGACAATCCTGGCGTCATTCCGGAAAGCACTCAGAGCATTCCCCATGGGAAGCTGGGTCATCGCCGTGACAGGGGCGAGCCCTCCGAGTTTCAGAGCATCTGAGCAAATCCGTCGATGTTGATCGTGTCCAATGTTACCACTATTGACGATGTTTATCGTCTCGAATCAAGCAAAAAATGTTTGACTGAAACCATCATCCGGAATATTCCTTCTGCAGGGAAAGTTGAAATACCCTAAATAGTGCATGAGAACCTCTGTTATTCCATTTCGATCATATTGAATTTTAGAGGAA